GCAAGTAGATTTAATTATCGGACATGACAAATAAGTTGAGTGGTAAGGTCTCAAGGAATAAAACAATTCAATTAAATATAATTTTCAGTAATTTATTTAATTAATGGACATCTGTAATCTTAAATTTGGGAAGATTATTAAGCATATAATAATAAAGAGTTCGAATATAATTTTGAGATAAGGTTCAAGAGATCTATAATAAATTTTTAGTTGACTGACTTATTATTAATGAGTTGTAAGATGTTTGTTTTGGGTTGAACATACGAATCCTTAGAGAAACTCCAAAAGGCTAGCTAAAACCCCATTTTTAGTTATTTTAGATAGTTTCTCTTTAAAATGTGGCTCTAACAGATTAGTTATTCCCCTATCTATTTTCCATAACCCCATTTTCACTAGTTACATCTACCTAGCCACTTCTCCCTAGCTCCTTCAGAAGTTGTTGGTCTAGTTTTTGGATGAGGCGATCGATGGAGAGACGATTGACATCTAGTTTGATCAAACTCGAAGCCTTCAGAAGTTTTCAATCAAACTTGAAAGTTTTGAGGTGATTTTGTTTTGGATTTTGTGATTTAATTTGAGAGAATTTGGTTTGGGAGTATAATTTTTGGGAGGTGTATTCTCTCTTGTAGCCTACAATTGATTAAATTTGTACAATATATAGTTGAATTGCTATTTTTTGAATTTTATTATTGAAAGTTAGGTAAAGTTAGTTGAAGTGGTTAGCTAAAATAAATAGTGTTGTTGGAATGAATTTGAAAAAGTGATTAACTAAAGTAAATAATATAATATTTAAATATATTTTGAGTAGCTATTTTAGATAGCATTGTTGGAGATGCTCTTAGCCCATTAAAAGCCCAGCCATTATTTCTCCTTAGAGTCTCTGTTGTAGCCTATATATAGACGTATAGGCTCTCTAATTTAGCATATTTTCTTTACTCACATTTTTTAGAGAGGCTAAAAGAGAGAGCAGGAGTTCAGAGGTCTTGGCAGCCTACACTGCATCCAGATTCTAACGTTGGGGGATATACAATAGAAGGTCGCGAGGTTCATCCAGTTGTCCTTTAGTTGCTCGTTGTTCGGTTTTGCGTTCGTGCTGAGACGAGATCAATCCTGAGAGATGTCGAAGGTAAACCCTAATTTCACCTTGTAGGGTTCTAAAGGAAAATTTTTAATATTCAATACATATGCTTTGTTAACAGCTCTTGAGATTTCTATTCCAACAATAATAGAAAGTGTAGGTCTGGACTTGCTCAGCTTGAGTCCCTTTAGATATCCACTTTCCATTGCTTGATTGACCATTGCAGTTAAACATTGATTTACAATTATGAACACGTATGATGAAAGAAGGTCCCCCTGCCTAAGTCCTCGTGATGGAGTGATTTGAAAAACTCTATCCCCATTCACCAGTATATTAAATCTCACAGTGGAAATGCATTGCATAATCAGAGTAACTCACTTCTCAGCAAACCCCATTTGATCATAAGGAACTTCAAGAAATCCCATTCAATTGTCATATGCCTTAGCCATACCTAATTTGATTTCCATTTGATACCTTTTGGTTTTTCTTCGCCTTATTGAGTGCGTTACTTCTTGTGCTATTATGATGTTATCTTGAATTTGTCTTCTCCCTATGAATGCCCCTTGATTATGAGCCACCAAATGATCCATGATGAGCTTTAATCTAGTAGCTCGCATTTTGGAGGTTACTTTGTAAGCAAAATTGCAGTAACTAATTGGCCTGAATTCACCTTTGGGACTAATGTTATGTTTGTTTCATTGAGTTCCTTTAACAAAAAACCTTGACCGATAGAAAAATTGAACTGCATTAAACAAGTCACTTTGGATTACTATCTAGTACCTCAAATAGAAAAGACCAGGGAGGCCATCTGGTCCTGTGCTTTGGCTATTCCCAAGCTGAAAACTACTACCTTGACTCTCTCAATTGTGGGAGCTTTTAGAAGACGGTTGTTCATCTGATCTGATTCCATCGTTGGAATAATTTGCAGAACTTGATCATATGTTCTGTTGCCCTTTGTCATGTATATGCTATGGAAATGATCTTGCATTAACTAGTTTAATTGCACTTTACCAGTGGTCCATTCTTCCTCAGTATTGTTCAGAATCATGATCCTATTCCTTTGTCTTCTTTGAACTATTGTTGCATGGAAGAAACGTGTGTTTTTATCTTCCCATTTCAGCCACTTCAATCTTGATCTTTGACCCCAATATTGCTCATCTTTACACCATAGATGTCCCAATTTTGCCTTGATCTTTTACTTCTTCGCAAGGTATAGTTTATTGAGTCTAATAGAATATGTCAGGTGAGCTCAAAGATATGTATTGATCAGTTTCAAGAAATTAAAACTTTGATTGGTTCATAGATTAAATGAGGGGGTAAAAGGTGGTATTTACTCTTCCATTTTGTTCTCCCATACTTTACTACCTTTTTTTCTTAACCAACTTTCCAAAAAATCAATAAATCATTTTATTTAAAATACATCAATTATTTCTCTCTCGTATTTACAAAGTGAAATTTCCAAAATTGTTGTTGCAGTTTTCAAATCATCCTCCATAAATCATTCCTCACCATCACACAATCCCAAACAATAGAAAACATCACATAAAGCTCCATAATAGGGGTAAGATCATTAAGAGAGGAGTTTCAAGGCATGATGCAGCAAGATGGGGGCTAACTAGATGGTGCCTAATTTTGGGGGGAAAAAATAAAAGGTAACAGACTTTAGGTGTAAGGTTTGACAGGTTTAGGGTGGGTGAAGGTTTGATTAGATGGTCAAGGACTTGGGGATGGTGTTTTGACATGCTCGGAATGGATGATTCCACCTCGAAGGAAGGGGATTGGAGGATAGGGTTTGACAAGCTTAGGGTGGAATACAATTGACTAACTCGGGAAAATGGAGGGTCTGGGGGGCAGGAGGTGCGAGTGCCCCGTGGGAGGTCAAGAAGTTGGGGGATAGATATGGGATTGAAATTGAGTGGGGGGTACATAAGGGAAGTACTAAAGAATTTAAGACAAGTAAAGTTGGATTTTATAACATTTTTTCTAAAGGGGATATTGAGATGTTTTTTAACAGAGGATCATCCCAACTAGTACTTCTTTTAATGGATAGTTGCATTGCAAATTCTGAATGCAGGCAATTTAATACATGATGCCTTTATTAATTACTCAAGCAACTCATAAGAGTTGATAATTAATATATTTGGGTAGAATTTTGAAAAACTTCGTTAAAATTTCATCTTGACAAAAAGAAGAATTTGAACTTTGGGAGGACATTGCACCCCCAAAGAAAAAGAAAAACATAAAAAGAAACAATTTTCTATGATAAATGGTAATTATAACACAGGATATACATCATTTAGAAAAGACATGTTACAACGATAGGAAAAGTGGAATTCCCTAAAACACCTGCCCTATTATAAGTAAGGGTGGGCACACTTTAACTATAGATTTTAATTTTTAGTAATAAATAAAAGTAGGGAAAATGGGCTATAGATCCACGTTTAGACACTTTTATGGCTTTAGGTCCAACTTGAATACTTTTAAGATCAAAAGTCCATAAAAGTAGCACTTCTCAAAAATACTCTTAATGAAAGAGGTTACTTAAAAACCTTCATCATATTTCATTCTTATATTTATTACCGTCCAATCATTATCCCACCACCATTCGCCACCCCCATCACCACCACTGTTGCAGAGCACCACCCACCGCCACCGCCGAACACCACCACCACAGCACACAATTGCTGCCCATCACTCACCACCGCCAACCATCATCACCCAAATGCACCACCACCATCATTACCACCACCCACCCACCACCACAACCACCATTGTTTACCTAGTAACAAAATAAAGATTTGATTCTTTTGAACTTTGACAGATTGTGTGTTGATAACTTCATTTGGCATCCATATCAATATTTGTAATAAGTCTACACCACCATAGATCATAGTTGATACCCTTTGTTTACAAAGTCTCCTTGTGCCGCTCTTTGTAAAAAAAAATGAGTTGAAGGACCCCCTATCTATAAGTAAAAAGCAACAACCAAGATTGCACAATCCAACCAAAAGGATCATACCAATGGTTCAATTAGTAAGATCAAGATACATGGAGCACGACGAGCATACAGGTGTCAATTGATTAGACATCAATAAAGGGATTGGCATCGTGTTCCGTGAAAATTTCCATAAGTCTTTTCATTTTTAAAAAAGAAATCAACATTTTGACCCTTTGACTATTACAACCTTTCTCCTCCCTTAAAAGTCAACGCTATATTCTCTTCAGCCAAAGTCACCCATCAACCTCGAGAAAAAGGGGGTTCATAACTAATTGAGAGGGTCCAAATGGGTAGGTTGAGGTAGAGACAAGAACACATCAACAAATCAGTTACTTCATTCAAGATAACCAACCAATGCCTCATTCCTGTAATCTAGGACCTCAGGGTTTTGTTAAAACACCAACGCTTGCCATCTCACTGGTTGCTAATTAGAAGGTAACCAAAGCATGACGGTCTTTGCCACCAGGCAAGACAATTAAGTGAATCCACATAATAAACCGCTAACACCCTCTGACTAAGGATGGGATTGGCATCATGTCCCCACAACTTCAAGGATACTTTTCCCCCATAACTTGTTAGTAATCGTTAACCATTAACCCATCCCTATACTAAACTCCACTCTAAATACCACTCATAAATGAGGGGAAAAGGTAAGCAATCTCTTCTAAGAAACTCCTATGTACCAAAGTCATCCACAATCATAAACACTAAAACACTTTGGATTGATTATGTTCAATATTGCCTTCTCACTTGAGCGCTAGGGGGAATTTGACCGGCACCACATAAGTTTCCCCTTTGTTTGTTCATTCCTTTAACAAGAACTCTAGACTAACACATAGGACTATCAGAATGTAACATTACCAACTTGAACCCCTAGTATTGACAACACGATCCTCTTGCATCTCGCTCTAGCAGGCCAATCACCACGTCACGATCTTCAGGACCCATGTAAAAGGTTGTTCCAACAACACCTATTTCTAGTAGTCCAGCTATTATTATTGGAGGTAGGATCAATAATGAAAAAGGCTCATTAATAAAGATATTGAAGAGAAAGGAAATGGTTGGATCGTCGAAGTTCCTCTAGCCATAATACAATCAAATGCTTTAAATTGAGAAGATGGAGTGAAGAAACATGGGTGTGCAAAGCTCACAAGCTCTTTAGAAGGAACAAAATCATACATAGAGGCACTTTGCCAACTTCAATACTCAAAATGAAAATAGAGTCCCTACCATGTAGCTCCAAAACAAAGCTAGTCAAGCTAGTTAGCTACTAGCAAAGGTAACACCTCTTAACCAACTTACAAGCAATGTAGAGGAGTTTCAGAGGAAGTGTGGTAGTACTCCCACGCCCCTGAAATTGAGAATGACCAAGTATTTGGTTCCTATTCCCAAGAAGTTAGAAAGTTGTCAAGAATGGGAATGTTACACCTAATTATAATGCTCATATGCTGGCACCAAATTTCCTTCCAAGTAGTTGGTTATAAGGTTGAGAGTCAGCTTAGCAAACCTACATGGAGACAAGTTGAGGGTAAAGTTGTGGGTATGAAGCTTAGAAATAGAGTCCTTATTTGAAAACCAATGAATTTAAAATATTTCAAACCTCAATTACCAGAAAGTAAACCAGTTGTATCTCATCCTTCATTTATGTCAAAACAAGGTAGTAAGAAATGGGCATCGTGTCTTATTGGGTACTTCATTGACAAGAAACTTCTCTTCCCATTAGTTAAACTTATTGGACAAAGGATATGGAACCCTCAGGGCATACTTGAAAGAAGATAGACAAATGCGATGGAGAGGTCCCCCACTTCGATTCCCCATGTTTCAACCAACTAAAGGTGTAAATTCTATGTTTCCAGTTTGGGTTAAGTTATTCTATAGCCCATTAAAATAATGACATGAATAGGCATAACTAGTATAGTAGGAATTCCCTTATATGCTAACTGTCTTACTGAAACTAAACAAATGGTCACATTTTCTAGATATAATTTGAAACAAGGGCCAACCAGGAACCCGCTAAATAATTTAAATTGGGAATGCATGACCACCTACTTGAAGAACATGGGGTTGTGGAGATATTGATTATGTTGAGAATTGTATAATATTGCAGAAGCGTAGGATCAAAGACATACATTTTTCACTTTTAACCCTCACATATTAATTTGTAGGATGTTCTACAATCTTTAGAATTTGAAGTCATCGTTTTTTCTTTAATTGTTTGGGTGATATGATGATGTTAAACAAGAGGAATCAATAGCAAAACGTTTCACAGGACAAACCTTTCAAAGCTATATAAGGGGAGTACACAACTTAGACCCACACACACAACAAAAAAAAAAAGGGGGAGTAGGAGATAGACTGTACATCAACAGTACTTGTTTTGATTATGTCTATTCGGTTATCCTAGAGTTTATATAGGCAACCAACATATGTCTTAAAGAAACACATCTCGCAAAAACATGTCTGTTGTATTTAGGGGTGCAACTCGGGCAGGTTGGGCTAGTTGAAAGGTCAACTCTGGCCCAACCTTAAGTATATAATTTTCAATCGTAACCGTAACCGTAACTCTACCTCAACTCGAAGTACTCAACCTGAGTACTACTTGAGTTTAATTCGGACGGGCTCGAATTGAATTCGGGTTACTTAATTCAAGCTGATTTCTGGTTAAAAATGGGGTTGGCTTGTGCTACTTAATTCGGGTTAATTTTTTGAAGTTTAGATTTGATTTTTTAAAGCGTAAATCTATTTTTTTTAAGTGATCTGAGATGAAGGGCAAGACACAAATGAAGAGAAATGGAGTGAGAGGGGGAGGAAAGACGATTGAGAATGGAGGCTGTGAGTATGAGATGACTCAGACGAGTGACGATTGAGAGAGGGAGGCTAAGAGAGGAAAAAATTACGAGTGAGAGATGAATTTGAGGGTGATGAGAGCGCAGGGGTGAAAACCTAAAGTGAAGTGAAAGTCTGAACTCTAAAGAATAAAGAACCCTATTTAAATATATTTATATATTTATGTATATTCGGGTTCAACTCGACAACCTAGAGCCTCAACCCGAGACTTGTCTAAATTCAGTTCGAGTTGAAGATTTTTTGTCCAGGCTTAATCCAAGTATTAAAAATTCTAACACAAGCCCTGTTTTTTTTGGATTGGGTTCGGGTTGACCCGCCCAAGTTGCACCCCGAGTTGGATTAACAAACATGTATTTTGAGTGGTAAACAACACTTCCAAAAGTCATGTCTCTTACACTTTCCCTATTGGGTCGATCCACCATGGACGCCCCGGTTTGAGTCGATAACCCAAGCCAATCACTCTTCAATTAACCCAATATCTAATAGGTTAAATACAGGTGGAAATCAGAAAATTTTGTCCATTGCATGGTGCTTGGTCACAATAACTTGATCAAAAATGGAAAAAGAAAATCAACGACAGGGAACGGTATTGAAAATATACTAGAACTGTCAGGAAAGAAGAAAGAACACCAAATCCAGCACACTTCAAGCATTGCTACGTCTAACCTTGAAACTTCTCTAAATAACAGTTCATTTCTGGTAGCTATCAATAAGGTATTGATCAGTCTAATCTAGGAAGGCGAGTAATCCCAGTAATCTTAGCATGTAGAAAGGTGAAAGGCAAGACTATAGATTTTACTAATAGTGTTGGGAGGTTCTAACTATGAGGAGACTCCCTAGCCTAAGTGAAAGGCAAGACCATAGATTTTACTAATAGCGTTGGGAGGTTCTAACTATGAGGAGGCTTCCAAGCCCAAATGAAAAGCAGACTGCAATAGCAGCAACATTCTACTTCTCATGATTCTTAGGAGGAGGCTTGATTAACTGTAATTATTCTTCATGCCTGCCCTCTAAAATCACAAGAAGAGAACCCTTGTAGTCTTCCAAGAGGATTACATTAGAGATCATAAGGCAGCTTCTCTCAAAACGAAGAACTCCCCACGGAACCAAAAATTATTCATGGCTTGGCAACTTACTATAATCCACCTGCTTTGGTCAACAGTAAATGGAATTACATGTAGTTGAGTGTCTTTAGATGTGTATAATAGTTACACATTTGAATGAAAATGAACTTTAGTTTCTAAAGAACGAAATGAAAATAATATCAAATCTTGAAATGCTTATTAGCAATATATATGCTAAAAAACTTAATAAAACAACAGAATGATCCTGTTGTAGGCTCTGTCTAGCAATGAGGTAGATCAAGGGGAGGCGGAGGCAGGGTGGATGACGGTGTTCCTCCATTCTCAACGACGAAAGCGGTGGCCAGGCCCCATGGCAAGTGCACGTCAAAGTGACAGTGCATCAACCATACACCTGCAAGGGCCACAGTTCCACGAACAAAATTAGTACATGCACAGCAAAGGAATATATATATATATATAACCTGTTTCAACATAGGTATATATTGTATTATTTTGTAGTCTTTTTTTTTTTTTTTGAATTACAAGTTTTAAGCAAATACATAACTTTGTCCAAAAATTTAAAATATATTTCATAACTATTTCTCACATTTGATCAAAATGCAACGTAGTAATTAAAAATACTTTTATATATGAATATACGCATGTTATCCTTAATTATGCATGTGATTAAGGTTGGAGGAAAGAACAAGACCCGCTAATGGAAAACAACAAAACAAGAAAAATATAACAATAAATCTAGTTAAATTAAAAAAAATTAAAAATTTGTTAGTAGACACTGCATACTTTCAAAACTAGGAGAGATAAAAAGAATATAATTTTAAATAAATATTCACCTGGATTGTTAGCCCGGAATCTAATGACAGCCCACCCCCCAATTGGTACAGCAATCGTGTTACGTTTTTGTGGATTGTCAAAATTAAACTTTTTCGGATCGTTCACAGGATCGAAGTTGCCAAACCCTTGAGCCAACACATAGAAGTTGAATCCATGCAAGTGTATAGGGTGATTTTCCACACCAATCAAAGCTGTGTTCTGCATCACCATCTCAACCGTTGCATTAAACTTGACTTTCTTCACTTTTGTTGACTTTGTTGTTATCAAAAGGGATTGATTTAAGCTGTTATTTGCATTAGTGTAGTCAAATATCAATGGTGGTTGATCAGGAAAATCAGTGGTGTAGATTCCATCAACGTTGTTGAAAAAAGCTTGTAACATTGACAACTTGGTGGGGAACTGGAAAGATGCATTGTTCATGCTCGCAGCGAAGCGTTGCCCAAAGGCCTCCACAGGTGGCATTTGCTGCACATGCAGCAAGGCCCAAACCAATAGTGATAAACATGGGTTCATCCACGTTCAGTGGTACTGGGGCCCAGAAAGGTGAAGTAACAAGCCCAGTTAGATTGCTGAAGAACTTGAAGGCAGTGGGTGTGTCATTGAAGGCTGGTAGCACCGGCATTATGGGTGCTGATGAGGTGGCGTAGTCGT